GTGCTGACCGTTGACTAAATTCTTGCATATAGAATGTGCAATAAATTAGCTTAACTGGAACTTAATCCGTGGTCCTCCTGATTCTTCACACCTGGCATATTATTGCATTATATGAACTATACTGAAGCATTTTCAACTCAATATAAAGGTTAATGAAATGAACTCAAATTTTGTCCTGGGCTACTTTTTTCTAACTACATCACCTAGCATCCCACTCAAGAGCAGTGTTTGGCCTGTAAAATGTTGGGCACCCAGTTTGAGAAATTATTCTCCCATCTTTGAAGCACAGAACAAACAGAGAGCATTTCAAGTCCTAAAAGAAGGATGAATAGGAAGAACCCTGAAGCTATGCATGGAAGGAGAGAGTTATTTATAGATCATCCCGGTCTATGCAGGTTTGGGATTGTAGACCTCCTTTATCATATGAATACTCTGGGCTTGGTTAAAAGCTTTGTACCTACAGTCTATGGTCCTGCTCCTATCTCATGTTTAAATGGATCAGTAGGGTCAGGAGCTTGCCAGGCAGTCTATTTTATAGCGACCCCCCCAAAAGGGTCATTTGACTCATCAATTTTAATTTAATAAACTGCAAGTTTAATTTATCCAAAATTAGATTCAGAAGAGCCTAAATTAAATTAACTCCAGCCAACTGCTTATTCAGATTTGATCTAGCCTACCCAATTTTGTATTGTCCTCACTATTCTTTCTACTGTTCAGTCCAAGTCATTAACAACAGTTTTAAAGAGCTCTGAACTCTAGATCAAACAATGCCCCATTCAATACTTCACAGTCCCTCAGCTGTCTGGTTCCATAACTCTGTGGTCAACAATCTAAGATCAAGTCTGTTGGCCAGTTTGTCACAGAAATGGAACATCTATCATTATGATGAAACATCTTAAACCGTGTTTTTTCTCTGCATGCTACCTAATGCATTACAGTGTAGAAAGATGCAAATCTCTCAATATCAAGGGAGATTTTGGCTTTGAAAATATAATGGAAGTTTTTTTGTGTGTGTGAGAGGCCACTGGTATTCCAGAGAGAGGGCACAGTAATTTAAAGGTCTTAATTCTTTCTCATTAAACTGTTCTTTTGTCTGTCCTTAAAATGAAAGAGCTTTAATCAACAAAGCAGCGCATCAAGCTCTGTTCTAATAAAATGAAAATTTGTCTGAATGCAACATCCCTTCTTAAGCAACCAATTTATTCAAGCAAAGAAATGAGCCAGGGATGTGAAATGGAAACATATCAGAAAACATGTAACGGGTAGAGGAGACTGTCATAGGCATGATCCAGCAGATCTGTAAGCATCTCTTATTAGATCACTTGAAACTGGTCCCTGTACGGAATACAAACGGATACACTCATTTATTTTACTCACACTGATGATGTTACCTAGAGGGGTAATGAAATATCTGCGAGAAAATTTCAAATTCTAAATTTCAGAATTCTGTGCAGGCAGAGTGGGTAGATGTGCAGTAGAGACCACTCAACTATTTCCATTTTGTTTTAAATGTGCAAACATTTTAATTTTTGAAAAGGAAAGAATTACCCAGACCTCAGGTTTCTAAGAACACCCACCCAGTCCTATTTAAAATGGAAAATTGCCTTAAAAACGTGTAAGTCAAAGAACTAGATAACCCATAGGGCAGACTTGTTGCCTGGGAACAGAAGCAAATAGTATTTGAAGGGGGAGACCTAGGTTTGGAAAGACAGGACCACTGTAAATGAAAGAGCAGGATGATTCATAGCACTTTCTGCCTTCCTATCAGTTTATATCATCAGCCAGATCATATAATAGAGCTTTTCCAAGGTTATAGATTAATAGATTTAGCACCTTAAAGGTCATCTCATCCAACTCTTTGATGCAACACCAATATTAATGCCACATAAAGGTTCAATGCTTGAATTTCTGCTTTCCCGCATTCTTCAATATTTCTGAAGACAGCTGATCATCTTCATAAAGCATTTTCAGCAGAAGAACAGCAATAGAATGAACAGGAGCTGCTAGTCATAACTCGGGTGTCCAAGCTTAAACTGATTTGCTTGCTTATTGTGAGTTATTATTATCAGTATTCATGCATTAATTTTCTGGGCAAAAAGCCCTGTTAAGATGGCTCGCCTATAAACTAAAAAAAACCCATACAATGCAATTAAAATCAGCTAATTTAAGTCTGTCAAACTCAAATCACAGTTTAAGCCCCTCTCAATCCAATACCACAAATCCACTAAAGGAAAGCAATTTAAAACAAGAGGCAGAAGCCAGACGTACAATTAAAAGATATAATTGTTGTTTGTTTCTTTGGGTAATGCAGTTTCCACCCTCACCATTTCTTGGGAGCCAGGGGCAAAAGGAGAAAATGTCTTAGGAGAACAGTTTATGCTGTTGCCACCAGAAAAACACTGTGTGTCAAAATAGTTTTGCTTCAAGAGTGTTTTGGCAAATAATGATGATCAACAACCACTGCTATAAAGATAAGTCAACAGAATCCTTCGACACCCATATAAATACTTGGTCCTCTTTAAAATTTGAGCTGAAACTCTAAAACTGCAGCTTAGTTTTCATTTACATACAGAGCAAGTGACATCCAGACTTCACACTCCAAATGATCACCATCTCAAGAAACAGAAACTGAAATAGCAGCAATGAACATCTTTAGGCAACCAATAATAATAGCCCCCCAAAAATAAATCTTTCCAAAACTCAAAATAGGACTGTGAGCTGCCTTTACCAACACACTAACCCATCATTATCTAACTTTTATTATTTATTATTATCATCTAATTGAATTATTCCATTTTTAAAGATTTAGATAACAAGCACAGAGTGTTCAGGCTGAGTTTGCCAGGAATAGCTGGTTAATTTGTGTTTCACTCTGTTGTGCAAACAAAAACAATGATTTATTAGGCAAGTAGATAAAAAAAAACTACAGATTTTTCCGGCATAATTAAGGCTGGAACATATGGCAGCATCTAATGCCCAACAAGATTTCAGTTAAGCTTACTTGCTGTTTGTCTCTTTGCCTTTCTGGAATGTGTCTTGGCAAAACAGAGGTGCATCCACTGAGTTGTATTTACTCTACTCTACACCTAGATGATGTATGGTTTAATAATTGCTGTGAAGTTTCAGAAACACACAAGAGACAAAGCTAAATAAGTAAAACAGAACTAACTATGGCATTGATGGATTGGCTGATTGACTGAAGAGATATCAGTCAATCATGAAGAGGTTGGCTAAACAAAAAAAACCCCATGCACTTCAACATCAAGGTGAAGTTAGCTGTTTTCAAGAGGTGCTATTTAATAACTGCATTTTTTTTTTTTTAGACAAAGCTAATAGGTTCGGGGCCCTGGTCCCGTCATTTATGAAAGGGTCAAAACTCAAAGAGCACCAAGATGAAGATATTCTCAGGTTGAATTCCAAGAGAAAACACAGAAAGATCCTTATCCAAAATCTGAATAGCTCTGTCTCTCAGGGGCAACAATTCCCTTTTATGCTATTGAATCTAAGCAAGAATTGCCACTTTCTCACTGTCTAAGGCTAATGACGGTGTCTAAAATACTCTCCTACAATGTAACCAGCGATCAATACTGGAACCATGCAGTAGAATTATGATAAATCATGGCAGAATAATATCCCTAATTTTTAAACTGAATACTATCCACCCATTTGTAAAGGGACTTTTTTTTTTAAAGGATGCTAAGTAGGCTAGTTAAGACTTGGGTTTTGCTTCAGCAAAAGGAATTCTTAAATTCAGCAACTCTGTTTCCCCCAAGTTAGTTCCAGGCATCCTGGACATTTCTACATTCTCCATCCTGCTTGCCTTAACTCTCCCCCAGGAACAGAATAGAATAGAATAGAATAGAATAGAATAGAATAGAATAGAATAGAATAGAATAGAATAGAATAGAATAGAATAGAATAGAATAGAATAGAACGGAATAGAATATAGAATAGAATAGAATAGAATAGAATAGAATAGAATAGAATAGAATAGAATAGAATAGAATAGAATAGAATAGAATAGAACAGAACCTTGGAGGTCTTCTAGTCCAGCTCCCTGCTCAAGTAGGAGAACCTATATCATCTCAGACAAGTGACTGTCTAACCTATAGACAATAGGCATATAGCATCTCCTCTAATACAAGTTATGATGTTGTCCTGTCTCTACAGCAGCTCCTGAAACCCAGACTCAGGATGCTTGATAGTCTAGCAGGAGCAGTCTTTAAAGATTGAAAGCCTTAATTTTCCCATGATGAAAACTCTTATTTTCTGTTTGCAGTTGAGAACGTTTAAATCCCTTTCCAATGTCCTACAAATAATCCCAAAGCTTTTCTTTGCTTTCACTTGCCATGTTTAAACACAGATATCTGATTTAAGCAACCACTCAAGAATGAATGGAGAGAGAGAGAAAGAGAGAGAGAGAGAGAGAGAGAGAGAGAGAGAGAGAGATCTGTCTTCCTAAACAGATTTGAACCCAGGCTTGTCACCTGTTTAACAAAGTTCATATCTTTAAAAAAATATTTTAAAAGCATAGGGAAAAAAAATACCATTTTACTCTAAAGCCAGAGACAACCAAAGCTTGCAAAAGAAATGGGAAAAAAGACCTGCCCTCCTAACTCCAGTCCAACAATAATATGTTTAAAGCATCACTCAATAGTCAAATATTCTGGGTGCATGGGATGTTCTCCTAGGCGAGATATTTCAGAAGCATTGTACCTAACTCGGGTGGGGTGGGAGATGTGTGAACCATTCTAAAACAGCCACATGATGAAGTCCGTAGCAGAGGGGAGACCTGAAGGCAGACTTCCTGCCGCATAGCAGTGCCTCTTTTTATACATCCACCGTGACTAGTGCAGAGAATGCTCTCCTCTCATTTGGGATGCAGGAAGTGTAATATATCAAAGCTTCCACCACTAGATAATTCCCCCGGCTTGTCTTGAGGGAAAGGAGGGGGAAAGAAGCCACATAGCCATCAGATTTCTCTCCAGCTAGTTTCTTACCTGAAAAGTAGAGAGAAGAACCTGCAAGCCACCACTTCCTTGCTCAGCCATGTTGCTACGCTTGAACCCACCCCAAAACTTTTAAATGCCAACAGAAAGTTTTTCCCCAACTGCTGTTGTCCCTGTCCTGATCAAGGAGAGCAGCTCAGTCCAGATCAGGAGAGAATTAAAAAAAGAAAGAAAGCAATACCGTTCTAGACTCCCACATACGAAACAAATACACATACAGACATAGGCATCAGCTTCCCACCCAGATCTCCTGTCTCTTTGCTGCTCTCCCAGTGTGGCGGAGAAATTAATTCCTATATAAAGAATCCAGGGGATTAAGAAAAGCTCTCAGCAAAAGGTCTGGGTGTTTAGTGCACCACCAGAGGCATGTAGGATAGCTGGCGAGGGGAAAAGCAGAGAAAGAGGCAAATTTGCATAGTCCTTCGGGCACAGGGACCGGACGGTTGAACTTGGCTGCCTGACAGGCATTCTCAGCTGACCGGCTGATCTGTTCCAGAGGACTTTCTGAGGCCATTTGGTGTGTCTGCTTCTGTCCCATGAAATCAGAGAGGCCTGCAGACGGACACGAGACACACAAGTCCAGGGAAACAGTGGGGCACAAAGAAGGGACACTGGCAAGCTCTTAAAGACACACTTCAAAATTAGGCTCACCCGTCAGACTCACTCTGGTTTTTTCGGTCTTGGTTTAGCAGAGTGGGCAAAGATGGATTGTACAGTCCAGTTGTTGTTGTTTTGACAGTGCCGTGTATGAGCCCAAGTAATTGGGGTTTGCTTAACAAATCACAATTACAAGCCACCATGCTTGTAGTGACATGGAGATCTTTGAAGGCACTCTTCAGGCTGGCAATAGTTTAATACATAGCAACTCACCCATTTGTACCTCCCTCAACTCACTAGTGAGTTTTAGTGAGGTCATCTTAGGGGCTCTAAGGCCACAAAGATGCCGTTTCTGGCTTCCCACAGTCTATGCCAATGACCAACAGGCCAAGTTCCTCAAAGCTGACCTTAAGGAGTTGGGAATTCTGGGAGCAGAACAGGCTGGCAAAGATTGATCAAGGACTGCTATGTAGCCAATGTTGCTGAAGAGCAAAAACAGGAGGACAGAAAAAAAAAGTCATCCCTCTGTCTTTCTGCAATTAGACTTGGATGAGTTGACCTTCCTTTCCCATTTTGTTTTTACTAGATAACTTCTCCATTACTTGCCTGTCTCTGTCTCACAGCTTCAGCTTCTGGAGCTATGAACCCGGTAGGATTAGAAAGGAAAAAAAAACTCTTAAAACTACATCTCTCTAACCAATCCCAGCAGAATTTAACTTGGAGAAAAATAACCCAGCTATCAATGATGTTGCCAGGGTCAGTCCTTGAAGTATCTGTCTCACCCTGACAAGACCCAGAAAGTCTAATAAAAGAAGTTTATGTAATAGCTGAGGCAGACTTGTGGGATAATGTTCTATTGTGAGCAAAGGGAAGGAAGGCTACAAAACCCTTTTAAGAACTTATAAAAAGCTTGGCTAGAACTCAACATGCTTCCCTGATTAATCTACTGGCTGCAAAAATGACTTTAGAGCTAATTAAAGGCAACTTAAAGAAGCTGTTGTGATGTTTTCTCTCACTTCCCACTTTCCCCATTCTACAGATAAATGTACCTGTCACTGAAGCTGGGTGAAGCCATCATTACCTAAAGATGAAAACAACAACAAACCCAGACCAATTGCCTAGTTTATGGATATCACATTTTCTTTTTCCTCACACCAAGGGTTACAAAATAGTACTAATCACAATTTCAATTCTTTTCAATTCGTAGGTCCTTTGCAAAACTCCAAAGCAAGCTCCCATTTCTCCAAAGTACACATCATGACGTTGTTCAATGGGTCTTGTGTAGGTTTAGTTTGTTACAGGAACCCAACCAACCAACCCAACTAATGCAGATATGTGCATTTAATGGAGACGGGGGTCATTAACTGGCAACATATCTGGGGAAAATATACTGGTGTAGGCTTTTATGAAGAGTATATGTTGTGCTGTGTTGCTCTTCAGGGTTTAGTGACCGGTCTAGACAAGGAGACCACTTTGCTTCTGGAGATGCCAGCCACTAAACCCTAAAGACCAATGTTGCCCAATATTCTTATTACCTTGAAACCAAATTTCACTTTCTGAAAATATACATAATATAGTGAAATTAGACCAGGTCTATTTTCCTTCCAGTTTCACAAACTAGGACTATCGAGATGGTCAATGGGATATATCTATCTACCTACCTATCTATCTATCTATCTATCTATCTATCTATCTATCTATCTATCTATCTATCTATCTATATTGACAGACAGACAGACAGACAGACAGACATCCCAAAGACTGGGTGATGGCCGCTAACTTAATTGGCTTTAAAAGGGGATTAATCTTGAAGACTCATTACTTCTGGATTGGGAAAAGCAGTTGCAGGAGAACAATGGAGGACAGAGGCTATATCCTACTATCTCCTGCCTGTATTCCAGATTCACTTGGTTGGTTCCTGATAAGACCCCAAATGTCGGACTAAAGTGAACCTTGACCTGATCCAGCAGGGCTGTTCTTATATTCTTAACACTTTTGCCCCAGTTTTCACTGTTAAAAAAAAGGTAAAGGAGTAATCAGAGAAGAATCATTATAAAATTTAAAACAATATATCAAACAGATTAAATACACATCGCAGCAAAAGGCTTCCTTTACAAGCCATCAAGAAGGATAAAAATAAAGACCATTACAAGCCTGACATAATAAAAAAAGTGTCTCATAGCCCATTTAAAGCTGGACAGGAATAAAGGTGGATCAATTGTCCCAAATGCAGAATTTTTATCAAAAGCATCTCATCTAACCTTAATTCTTCCCTTTCCAACTTTTACTAATCGAAAGCCAACGTGTAATTTCTCTCAAGCCAGGAGTGGATTCTGGGTAGGTGAATGTTGACATAAGGATAATTGTTCAGCTAACTTAGCCTTAAGGACTTTTTAATTCATCACCAGCAGCGTTATACAAAGTGCAAATGCATTCCTGTGCTACCTTTTTCCCAATCCCTTTTTTAAAAAGGTAATTTCATCTGAAAATAGATGGGATATATATATATATATATTTTAAAAAAAAACCACCAGGTTCTCTGCTAGCAATCAGTTCTACAGATTTACAGAAAGGCAACTGCTTCTGAATTTCTTGTCCACATGAATATTCCTAAATAACTCAGGAAAACACAACTGCGATTGCTGATGGAGCTTTGATCTCCCACTGAATCTGATTTAAGAGTTTTACCTCCTCACCATCCCAACAGAGTAAATGGGGCTAAAAGGTTAAACTGTTGATTTCAAATGAAGCATTTTGACTGGGATCAATTTATTCTCCTTTGACCCGGGCAGGTTGTCAATAGACTACAAAAATAGTTTGGGTTAGACTCTTGTTCATGTCCCATTAATGATAAGCCTGTCTTATTTAAAAAGAAAATGAAAATAAAGCATGGACCCATCCTCTTGGGAGCTTGATTGTCAGTCAACAAATGGAATCTGTTCCTCCATAGTAATGAATAAGGCACCATTTTTTTATTTTATTTTATTTATATTTTGTGTTCCCTAGACTACCCAACATCAAAGATGAAACCAGTCTGAGCATAGCAAAACTCAAAGATGTGGTGCAAGATCAGAAAATGTGGAGTCACCTGACCCAGACAATTGCCAAGAGTTGGACACGAATGAATGGATAACTTCAAAATCAGATCGCCCATCTCCCTTAATTAATGTGTGCTTAATTGGTCAGTCTTAGGAAAGGGGAAATATTTGCTCTTCAATAGTACCCCCTCCTCTTCCTTCAAGGGAACATGAATTACCAGGGACTACGTGGGCAATCCCTGCCACTTTATTAACAATTGTATGAAAGTGGCTTTCCATTACCTTCCTGTGGAATGACTTCTGTTTTGAAAACGAGGAATTTTTGGCAAAGTATTATTTGGAGATTTTTTTGATTAAGCAATACATTGAAGTATGTATTAGGAGTTCTGGTGGCACAGTGGTTGAAGTGCAGTATAGCAATAGCATTTAGACTTATATACCACTTCATACTGCTTTATAGCTCACTCTAAACGGTTTTCAGAGTCAGCATATTGCCTCCAAAAATATGGGTCCTCATTTTACTGACCTTGAAAGGATGGAAGGCTGAGTCAATCTTGAGCCAACCTTAAGCTCCTGGTTACTGCATTCTAACCACTGCGCAATCATGGCTCTACTCTGCCCACAGCCTGGAGTTCAATCCTGACAGAGCTCAAGGCTGACTCAACCTTCCATCCTTCCAAGGTCAATAAAATGAGGACCCTGATTTTTGGGGGGCAAGAACTGCTTAGAGAGGGCTGTGAAACACTGTGAAGCAGTATATAGGTCTAAGTGCTATTGCTATTGAAGTATTAACCTGGATCATCTCTGCTCAGCTTTTATGAGATCAGCTTGGTCAGCTAGATGTTGGGATAAAGTTAAAGCTTGCCTGAGTTAGACTCAGTCCTTGATGATTTCATGCCCTTTTCTTGGCAATAATAAAAAGGTGGTTTCCATTATCTTTTTCCAGATTTTTTTCCCCAGTCTAGACTATTACGGTGGAGCTTCCTGGTGACCTCCTATACAAGTGCTAAATAAGCTCAAGCCTGCTTCACTTCCACATCCAGATGGTCAACCAGGTGGTACCTCCAGCTGAGAGGCTACATGAGAAGAAAGATTCAAGGCAAATAAAAAGCGTCTGATAAGAAGCATTGATAGACTCCTCAGGCTTAGGACAAAAAAAAAAATAACACTATGAATAACAACGATATATAAGAATGAAGCTTAAATAAAGGCGTAATTGATTTCAAAGACTACCTAAAAGAAAATTTCTAGTAATTGATCGACCTTCTAAAAATTTCTTCCTTGTAAATAACCAAGTTAATGTTTCTGAGGGCAGCCTTTCTGCTAAAGGTGCACCCCATCCAAGGTGTTGATAATATAATAGCAAGCTAAAACTCCTGCACGGAAAACCTTAGACATAAGTGCATTTCAGATTAATTCAAATCACCGTAAGAGATGCTCACCAACGTTGTTTGTATCGACCATAATTGAAAGCAACTTTAAGAATGGAGATTCATTTGTAAAATATAGCTACAACAGGATTACCCGTGGAACAGCTGTACCCCGGGGACTTTGGCAATAATCCAGCAATGCTGCTTTGCTGTGTAGTGAAGAGGTACAAACTGAGCGAAGTCTACTGTCTATGCCTTATTTGATACAATTAAGTAATACAAGAATACAGAAGATTAACAAACCGTTTATGAACAAATAGCAAAGGAATCACAGACTAGTAACAGCATCC